GAAACTGGAAAATTCAGCTTTAAACAATCTACGAAAGGATAATAGTATAGTAATTGCTAAATCTGACAAAGGTAACTCAACAGTAGTTATGGACAAATCGGATTATCTTAAAAAAATGGATGAACATATCCAAACAGGGCCATATGAAGAGATTAAGAAACCTATAGATACTGTCATGAATAAAATTAAGAAATCTACAACAGATCTGATACGCCGACTGAAGCCATCTCTAGGTAAGTCCGAATGGTTTACTTTAATGCCAAAAACTAATAATCCTAGCAGAATTTACGGTACTATTAAGGTTCATAAAGCAGGTTATCCCATTAGGCCGATAGTTGACTTCCGAAACACACCAACATATGAGATATCAAAGTATTTAGCATCAGTATTACGTCCTGTTAGAGACCGTTCCAACTCTAGACTAGTAAATTCTTACGAGTTGAAACAAAAACTTAATGACCTGCACATAGAAGAGGATGAAAAAATGGTTAGTTTTGACGTAACAAGTCTTTATACTAAAATACCAATCAATATGGCACTGGAGGCAGTCAGAAATCAACTAGATACTGACTCACAACTTACTCAAAGAACCAAGGCATCGGTTGGTGAAATCATGTTAGGAGTGCAGTTATGCTTAACCTCGACAGTCTTCAAGTTTCAGGGAAAGATTTATAGACAAACAGAAGGAGTAGCAATGGGATCACCAATATCCCCTATAGTAGCAGATATATTTATGGATAGTTGGGAAGATATGGCTTTACGAACATATAATCCGACACCTAAGATATGGTGGCGATATGTAGATGACACATTTACAGTGTTGAAATCGGAACATATCGACAGTTTCTTGACACACATAAACTCAGTAGTTAACGCAATCCAATTCACCTACGAAGTAGAAAATGAACAAGGAGAATTACCTATGTTGGATTGCAGAATAAAACGAAGGATAGATGGTGGTTTAGATACTACCGTCTACAGAAAACCAACACATTCTAACAGGTATCTAGACTTCAAGTCATCTCATCCAGTGTCAGTTAAAGCGGGTTTAGTCAAATGTCTAAATAACAGAGCTGAGAAACTCACTAGTCATTGTAAGGACTTAAATAAGGAATTGAAACACATAAAAGAAGCGTTAATAATTAATAATTATCCCCATCATTTTATTAAGAAATTCACACGGACGCATAAGAAGCAAAATAATAACACTAATACAAATACAAATAATAGTGACAACATAAGTAGAAAGGAAATCAGCACCTCTATTGTGATACCATACAAGGAAGGAACATCAGAAACCATACGTAGGATTCTCAACAAGGTTGGAATTAGGGTGGCATTTAAACCAACAAACTCACTTAGAGGTAAGCTTTGTCGGCTAAAAGATCCGATAGAACCAATTAAGCAAAATAATATAATCTACCAAATTCCATGTAATGACTGTGAAGTCAAATACATAGGTCAAACTAGCCGGTCGGGGTCAGTTAGATTAACAGAACATAGGAATTTAGCTAAACATAGAACGACAGACCCCAATAAGATCAATAACCTAGAAAAACACTCAGCCATTGCATTACATTCATTAACACACAACCACACAATAGGATGGGACAAAACCACTGTACTTAAGTCTAATATAGCTAGGTGGAGAGAGAGATTAATTACTGAATCTTTGTTCATCGAATCCACACCCAACACATGTAATAGGAATGACGCAACACCTATACCAGAGATATGGAAAACTTTACTACCAATCAAAAAACAAAAAAACAAAGAGAGATCAGGTGACAGGACTATAAAATCAGATGTCGAAAGAAGTGTGATTACATTGATATGATTATGAGCAATAATTTATGCTCGAAACGTAATCAAGTAAATAATACTGTATCACTGTGCGCTTTATATCAAATGAGATAAAAAACCTGATTTAAAGGGGTTTTTTGAGATTTGCCCCAGGCAACAACGGAGAAGTGGGTGCACCCTTGAGTAGCACATCCAAACAACGAGATTCGGACATGCGTGTTCAAACTGGCTGACCTGTTGGGGATACAATAAAACGAAGAGAAACTCTTGGCTTAACGGACCGATATGAAAAGCAATCTTAAAGCTGTGAGTCTTGGTTTATGAGGTCTTGGAAACGAGTGCTTTCATTGCCTGCATTGGTGGGTAATGGAACTCCTCCAACACAGTGAACGTAGTCTATCCTGGTGTTCGCGGTATTGGTAATAAAATGACAGATCTTGAGACTCTAATCCGTGAACCAGGTCTTGGTGTGGCAGCCCTCACTGAAACCTGGTTAGTGAAGGATTTAGACTTTACATCACCCCTCATAGGGTACCTGTGTGTAAGGACAGGTAGAGTTGTGGGTTGCAAAGGTGGCGGCTTGCTACTCTATGTCCGGGATGACGTCCTCACACAACGAGTCGCCTCCGAAGCACATGAATGCGGGACCTGCAAATTGGCCAGCTGTGAGATGAATCCAAAGCAAGCTTTCCGCACCGTTGGGGTAACTTACCGTGGTACATACCGCCCTGCAAATTGCTTCATGCTAACCCATGCACGTGACTGGATTAGAAGCAACAGATGCCTAATGGTCGGGGATCTGAACGCTCCGCACACAAACTGGACGGAGTTATCGGTCTTAGCATCGGGCACTTCCTCGGAAAATGTTTTACCTTTAACCGTACTGGAGTCTGCTTTAGTTCAAAATGTAAATTATCCAACGCGATACCGTTTCGAGCATAGGCTATAGTAAGTAAGTTTGGTTTTGACCCACCAAAGTGAAGGCATCATGAGTCTACGATACTTCCCTCCGTTGGCCAACAGCGATCATGTCGTGCTACCCCTCGGTTTTTGGAGGTATGAGTTCCCTTACGATGCCGCTTCCCCTAGATCTAATGTTTAGCGTGCAGATATCTCAAGTATAAGAGATTGCACAGTCAGTAGGGGCCAGACCATTGACAAGGACTCATCGATCGGGAACGCGTGAGATTGGTCCAGAACTCTATTTGAGGAGGTAGCGACGCCACTTATTCTGTGATCGATTGCACGTAGATCCTAAAATCCATGACTTAATGAAGACACCCAGAAACCGAAATGTAGGGGAAACAATTGTGGGACACTGATTGAAACTGAACCTGAAACCTTCAAAACTGGGTGAATTTCGTAACCTCTGCAAAACTTCGATTACACAGCCTCGGATATCCCTCGAGAAACAGCTTGTGAGGGATTGCCGAAGCTGCTCTAAAAGACTACTGGCATTCATCGGAAGAAGGACCAAAAGAAAGTGTAGAGCTCTCTCTGACGACGGATGGAAAGTCCGATAGTCCCGCAGAATCTAATCTGTCCAATGCTGAATGTCTGTCAGATTACTTTAGTGAAGTTCTCCCTGTAGATCGTGGCGATGAAGTGTTCAGTAGTGACACCAGCGCTTCCCCACCAGTGGGTGCGGTGTTCTTACAGTTGTTGACTTATCTTGAACCCGGAAAATCTTCAAGCCCTGATGAGTCAAACAACAGACTTGTGTCTTTGCTAGCGGACGTTATTGTTGGACCAGTCATTGATCTTTTCGGTATGTCCCCATCTCAGACTTGGTCCCCTAGGGACTTGGAAGATGCCATAATCAGTCCAGTTTTCAAGGCAGGCAGTCTCCAGCTGGTGGCTAACTATCCCCTGGTGAGTCTAATTAGCGTAGTTATTAGAGATTTGAAAAAAACAATCTGTGCTAAGCACTGAACCATGTTGAACCAGATAATTCCTTGGCATCACAGAAGCACGGTTTTCTCACCGAACACCCCTGTTCAACAAACTTTCTTATAGCGAGAGAGTAATGGTCTGCAGCAGGTGGTTGCAAGCTGCTGATAGACGCAGCACTTATAGACTTCGGTAAGGTATTCAATAGGGTGTCACATATGAAGTTACCAGGAGAACTCTCCTTTTTCGGATATGGTGGTTCATTGCAAGCCTGGATTAAGGACTTTCCGTACGATGGAAGGAAAAGTGGGGGTTACTGAGGTACTTTCCGGATGGAAACCTATGACAGGTGGAGCTCCTCAAGGAGCAATCTTAGGTTCACTAGTTTTCTTGTTACATGCCAACAAGTTACCTCAAATGCTCAACTGTTCGAGGCTGCTATTCGTCGATGATGTAAGAGTTTGGAGAGCCATACGTAGTTATCTTGATAGGTACAGACTCCCAGCGGACTTGTATGAAGTGATAGGTCGGTTCAAACGTTGGTGCCTACAGATCAACTAGTAGAAGTACGACGATGCACATTTGTCATAGTAACTGTTTCCAGTATTCCGCTGACGGCATACTACTACTCCCACTATATGAACTGAAAGACTTATATATCATCATAATTCAAGATTTGGAAACCCCAGGGAACTGTAGTGTAGCCGCAGTAAGGGCTTCCACGTATTCTGGTCCATCTGCAAAGCTTTCAAAGGTTTTGATCAGGATATGTTTAGAATGCTCTATTCTGCCTACTTTAGACCTCACTTGGAATGCTGCATTCGGGTGGCCAGCCCATGCCTGAGAAAGAATGCTGACGCACTTGAACATATTCGAAGGGTAGGTACTAAACTTGTGGCAGGCCTTTCGAATCCGCTATATGAGGAACGACTAGATAGGCTAAAATTATTCCCACTGTCTAGATGTAGGAAACGAAATGATCTCACAAAGACATTTATCATGCATAATAATGACTTCGACACTGATATTTTCTATCTTTTCTCCCCTTCCAGGATTGACTATCTCCGAGGGCATCATACGAGAATCCAAAGACCGCGATCCAATCAAATTTACGTGAATCCCTTTGTGTAGTCAACAGCCGGAACTCCTTACCTCGGCAAGTGGTGTCAACGTGTTCAAGGAGAAACCAGGTCTTCACATAGATATCTTCTGAAAGGATTAACACAGGCTAACTGGCCTACCATCCCTATAGCTAAAAACTGAAAACTAAAGGCGCTCGGACTAAATATTGCGTTACAGCATTAACGATGTCTGGGACTTCGCGTTCAAATAATTGTTCGACCGCTGTTCACCGCTTAAAACAAGATTATTTGCGATTATCTCGTGACCCCGTTCCTTACGTAACTGCGGAGCCACTTCCAACTAATCTTTTCGAGTGGCATTATGTCATCAAAGGTCCAGCTGATTCGCCATATAAGGGAGGTTATTATCATGGCAAGCTTATATTTCCCAAGGACTTCCCATTTCGACCCCCTTCTATATATATGATAACACCGAATGGCCGTTTTGCATGCAATACTAGGTATGCAGGAGTCGTTTGTAGATATGTCGATCCTATTTCATATTTTTCAGACTTTGTTTGTCCATAAGTGATTTCCATCCAGACACATGGAACCCTGCATGGTCTGTCTCCTCTATTCTCACAGGATTGTTGAGTTTCATGTTGGAAAACACATGTACCATGGGGAGCATTGTGACAACAGTCAGCACGAAGAAACAGCTGGCTAGGAATAGTGGTGATTTCAACCTGAAGTCGGATATATTTTGTGAACTGTTCCCCGGAATTGTTGACGTGAGTTAAAGACAAAGTTTCATGGAGTCGTGTTAAGTAATATTGGTAATAAAAACGGTCACTTGATAGTTTACAAGTTACTTGCAAACTATATAGCACTTTATCTTCAGTTTTACAGCATAATTTACACAAGATGTGAGATAGCGTAAAATCAACTTGTTGGAGACTCAAAGATGCGTATTTTTTTGCATAATCAAGAGCTGTTTGAAGCCCTTTCTGAGTATCTGTTAAATCACATCTCTGTCCAAATTCTAAAACCAACATCGTTTAAAAAAGTTTGTATCACGTGATAGTTTCACATGAGTAGTATATTTGTTCATTATGCCTAGGTGATCTGACTGCTAGTTATTCCCATGTATGAGATTAACCTTTAGAACTAAAGACATAAGGGAATGCCACAAAGTGCATCAGTTCAGTTTGTCGTACTCGATTATTATTATTATTACTATTATTATTATTGTTATTATTATTATTATTATTATTATTATTATTATTATTATTTGTCCCTTGGGTTCCTAATGGAATATAGGGCCTCAGTAGCACGTCTCCATTCCACTTTGTTCTCTGATATCGTTTAGACATAGCTCCACGACTGCCCAGAAGTTATCATTTCTTTCTCACACCATCTCCTCCATGTCACCCACGGCTCGGACGCTCAACTGGCCGTTTCCCATCTAGGTTTCACTGGAATGCCTGGCCTGGTGAGTGATGTCCCCAAATGGTCTTCTCAGTGCATGCCCAATCCATCACCACTTCCTTCTGCATACTTGTTGAGCGATAGATTCTTGGTTGGTTCGTTCCCAGAGCTCCTTGTTGCTTATTATTTCTGGCCATCTGGTCTTCAGTAACGAGTGAGCGTAGGCAGTTGTTAATGAATGTCTGTAGTTTGTTGGAAATCCCTTTCGTAACGCGCCAAGTCTCTGAACCATACAGGAGCACTGACTTGATATTGGTGTTGAAGATCCGCATCTTGTTCCATATGCTGAGTGCAGATCTCCACACTGGTTTCAGGCTAATGAACGCCTATCTTGCTTTTCCGATTCTGACTTTGACATCCTCGTCTGTGCCTGTGCCACCTGTAGTTGAAACTGCTGCCTAGATAGGTGAAGGAGGCTACTTCCTTTAAGTTTCTCCCGTTGATGGTGACCGAAGCTTGTTCTTACTGTTGTTGTTGGTTGGGTATCTTCATCATCTCTGTCTTCTCTATATTCACTTGAAGTCCCGTCTTCGTTGCCCTGCCTCTTCTGTCCACTATTTAGGTTTCGCCTGTAGATCTTCAAGTTTGTGTGACATCAGACACAAGTCATCGGCGAAATCCAAATCTTCTAGGATCTTTTCCGCCGTCCAGCGTATCCCCCTCTTCTCGCTCCTCACTGTTTGTTGTATGATCCACTCCACTACAATCAGGAATATCATCGGGGGTAGTTGACAGCCTTGTTTCACTCCTGTCTTCACTTCACTTCGAAGGCATCACTGAGTTTTGTTCCCATTGTGAATTACTTGGCTGGCATGTGGCATCTTCATATAGTTGTTGAATGAGGCTGATAAAGGTTTGTGGTATTCCGTAGTGTTGAAGCAACTTCCAAATTTTTTGTCGGTCAACGCTGTCAAAGGCCTCTTAAAAGTCGATAAAGTTGAGTTAAAGGTCCTGTTGACTGCCATTCTATGCTCTTTTCCATGATGATGCGTAGTGTAGCGTTGCAATTTGGTCAGCACATGGTTTGTACTTCCTGAGTCCAGCTAGCCTGTTCCGGTCATAGTTTTGAATCCAGTGCATCCTTTAGTCTCTCCAAGATGATGCGGCTTAATATTTTGCTTGCACTGGGTGGACAGGAGCGTGATTCCACGCCAGTTCTTACAAAGACTTAGGTCATCCTTCTTCGGGAGTTTGACAAGCTAACCTTTCTTCCAATGGCCAGGTACCTTCTCTTCCTTCCACACCTTCTGCAGTAGTGGTGTGGTGTGGTGTGAGCATGTCCGCTGCAGTTGTCTCTGCGTATGCTCTCAGTGCTTCTGGCGGGATTTCATCTGGTCCTGCTGCTTTCCCACATTTCAGTAGTTTTATGGCGCTCACGACTTCCATTTTTGTTGGAGGATTTATGTTCATTTGTAGTTCTGTGGCTGGGCTGCAGGTGGTATTTGTGGACGAAGTGCAGATGGTGGTGGTGGTGGTCGATTCAAGAGCTTTTTGAAGTGATCGGCCCATCGTTTCCTTTGTTTCTCATCTTTCGTAATTAAATTTTATTCATCATCTTTTATTGGTTTCATGTGTGTTGATCTCTTCCATCCCACATAGTAAGTAACCTGGTTATTTGATACAATGTTGTCAGATCTCTGTCTCTCCTACCTGCGGTAGCCTGTTCTGCTTCACTTGCCAGTGTTTCGTAGAAGTGTTTCTTGTTTCTGTGTGCACTCTTCTTCACTTCCTTGTCCAGTGTATTGTTTTTTACATTTTACTCAGTTCCTCTTGTCGTTGTGCATCCTTGCACTGCACTGGTTAATCTTCTGCTTCACCATCCCCATCTCCCTGCTCCATCAGCTTCAATGTATCTGTCGAGATCCATTCCTTGTCTTGGCGTGTCTTCTTCCTTCCTTATACGGTTGTGCAGGTTTCCTCTCACATCGCTCTCAATGAGTTTCAGTGTTCATCCACACAGGTTTCTTCAGGGATGATGTCCGATGTCTCCTATTTTTTCCTGATAGCTGCTGTGAAGATTTCCTTTGTAGTTTCATCCTTCAGTTTCTCTTCTGGGTGTTTTACTTGAACTGCTGTCTATAACCAGCTTCCTTGAAGGCTTTTAACTTGATTTGGAAGGTTCCTTGCACTAGATGGTGAGTGGTGTGAACCTACATCTGCTCCTCTTCTTGACGTTGTGTCAAGTAGACTGCGTCTCCATTTTCTTGAGATTGAGATGTAGTCGATTTGATTTTTAGTGTGTCCATCTAATGAAATCCATGTCGCCTTGTGAATATCCTTGTGCTTGAACACACTGCCTGATTCCAATCACCAAATCGTTGAATGCACAGAATTCTGCAAACAATTCTCCATTCTCATTCATCACTTCACCGAGTGCTTCTCGACTCATGATTGCTTCTTTTCCTGTGTTGTCTGCTCCCAGTTTGGCATTCATGTCGCCCCACCCATCAGAATTTTGATATCGCCAACTTGAGTGGTGTCTTGTCCAGTGTTGATTGAAGTTGTGTGTAGAATTCCTCCTTCTTCTCTTGCTCTGCATTATTTGTAGGTGCATAGTATAGCGTAGCATTGTATGATTGTGACCCACCTTCCTTCCTTCCTTCCTTCCTTTTGAGTTCAAACTTGCTCTTATGAACCTAATCCTGGAGGAGGTTGGTTCCCACTGCATGAGGGCCTTCGATGCTCTTGGAGACATCATGATAGCCACTGGAAAACTCAGTGTGCTCGTGGTTGTCGTCTGGGTGACAATATCGGAGTAGATTATTGACCCGTATCCAGTTGACAGTTTCGAGAGTCCACTCTCATTCCATCTACTTTCGCAAATTCCTAACACTTCAATGTGATACCTTCTCATCTCGTTTGCAATCTATGCTGCCTTGCCAGCTGGGTTCAAACATCGTGTGGACATTCCATGTCCCCACGTTTATTTTCGCTTCCCGAAGGCAGGCTTTCACCAACCGGCGTCACTTCGTCTGCGCGACTCCAGCGAGGAATAAGTTTTTTTTAATGTTTCATATTTTGTCTGTGCTTTGAAGTTTGTTTAGCGGTTATATTTGTTTTTCGGGGTAGGGTTGCTAGTCGAATGCCCAACCTTCCCTCTTTGTCGGGGCTTAGGACCGGCTAGAAACTAGTGAATTAGTTAACCACCGTAATACATGTAGTAAAAGAACTAATAAAGTTGTATTCTATTACAGCACCAAAGTTCTGCTCTTCTCTCATTGTACTTTATGGTTTTGCTGTCAGAAGACTTGTCAACAAACGTTCACTACTTCCTGAATGGAAGCTAGATTCACAAATCATGGTATATTTAATATTAGATGCTTTAAAAAGCAGTTCAATCCTTGATATATAGATTTTCGTGTTCCAATTCGAGCGGATTTGGAGCTGCGATAAAACGTTAGCAAAGTATGTGTAAAAGCAAAAATCCATAGAATAGTCAACAAGTTATACTGCTTCTGCAATAGTTAAAATGTAAACTTATACTGCTAGTCGAAAACATAATCTCATCATGAAAATTTCATTATACCCAGGTTATCTTCTTCAACAAACCAAAGAACGCCCAAATTAGAGTTCTAAAAACTGGTAGAAGCAAAGTATTCATTTGCAAATAATGAGATCACCAATAACAAAGTAGAGTATCCATCATAACTGGATTCTTAAACTCAACACAAAAAGAAGTAGTAGACAAAGACTCTAACCTTAATATAACAAATAGTCAATTAAAATCTGAGGATTTTACCTCTGACCCAGAAGTAGCACTAAGCTGAGTGGATAAAATGACTTCTAAAAAGGTTCGAGCAAAATATTCATTGACACTAAAAAGAAAAGAGTTAAAATCTAACAAAGCAAGAAAAGATCCTAAAGGGCCTTCAAAATAATAAGAATATACTAAAAGTCAGATCAGATCAAGATAGTAATGTAAGATAAATATCAATAAATAATACTGTGATACATAATTCAAAAAATTCTACAACAGTGCTAAAACTCTCCTCTTACATTTTTAGAGCCTGCTTGGTCTCTCTGTCTATGTCATTCCCATGTATACATCAAACTGGTCTAAACCAGTGATTACTCGGATTTTCAAAAATGATAAGTTCCTACGTTCATTCACGAATCATATAATTATGTTCACAAAAGCCTAGTGGATGATGGTTAGACATGAATGTTGATATAAGTCAACAAACTAAGTAGTTTTAAGACCTAACGGTGCATCAATAGTGTCTTATTTCTTGAAGATCTCAAAAACATATGCCTGTTCGTGTGTAGTGCATCGCATTTTACAGTCTAGAAGTAGGTATTAACATAGTACTCATGGTGAGTCGTCAAAAGTATTGCCGAAAAATATAACAAAATGTCATAGATTCGCCTGGGACTGATGCAATGCAAAATATCTTCAGTATAAAAATAGGAAATTTCAAGATGCATTCTAGGCTTTCTAGACTGGTCGATATCTCCACCTTAGTGAATTAATCGGTTAGGCTTTGTGAGATCACGTATCTAAGCATAAAAGCTAACCTTGATAGAGTGTTCTGTGCCTTCACGATAAGCTTTTTCTTGATACCTTCCAACTGGAACCTCTTTAATGTAGCTCACTGGTTGTTCGTATAAAAGTGGATGATATTAGAAGGCAAGGTGTTCTACCACACACTGAATTATCTCTCACTTATCCGATAGCTACTTCATGGACTTTGTTGAAACCACTGTTACAATCTTGTGTAAGAGATGGAAATTGTCTCACGAATTGACTGCAAAAGCAAATGCATGTTTACCATCTTATTTGTTCTACAGTGACTACTCGGTAAACGAAACGTTTCATTGAAAATTGTATAAATGAGGTAATCTATGTTTTTAGGTTGTTTGGGATTATGTGTACTGCTGTCTGTGATTTCACATACTTCGATCAATAGTGAGGTTTTATTTGACTTATAAAACGATGGTTAGTTGATTGAACAGAACTTATTATTCGGTTGCGAAGCCGAACATGTATGCAATGATATTGTGACTTGATCGAATGATTAACGAGGTTTAAATAGTCGTCTAACTGATTGCACTCCACCATAACTTTCCTCAAAACCCAAATTAAGTGATAATCAAGAAAATTGGCGAATTATTCTGTACTGTATCATCCAATCGAAAAAAAACTTATCTTTACGCAACGAATGAAACTTAAGAGCAAGATGGAAACTACACAATTTTAAGTATATAGCTAAAGAGGAATAAATTGAAGGTCATGCATGTGAGATTACTTTTTTCATTCCTATAACATTGGTATGGTTCAAATTTAGTTCTGGTGACGTAGTTAAGTTTTTTTTATCTTTTCAAAACATATAAGTTCTAATATTATAATTTACTCCATCTCTACTTTCTTTTCACAATTCTTCTTCTTTTCTTTCACAATACGTTTAATAGACATTATGGCGTAAACTAGTGTAGTATTATACCAGGTTTTACTGATGCTCAATCTGAAAGTAATGATAGTCGATTCGAAATACACTGAGCATTCATGTGCATGTTTCTGGAGTAAGCAGTAAGTAACATCTTTTATGTTGAGTGCTACTAATACTCCCTGTATGTCCAAACCTTAGTAGAGCGGGATTCGAATCATTGGCTTGATAGTTGGAAGTTGAATGCCTAGACAAATGAGCCCTAGGTCCATATTAAAGGTAGCGAAACTAATGTTAATCAATATACATTCAAAACAGTTAGTATCTTGATAACAACTCAACTATAAATAAACATAGTGATGATACTGTGTTCATAGGTTTTGCGTTTTACTGGGAAGTTTAGTTTAGGTCTTCTTTCCCAAGACATTTGTTAGGCATCTGCTTTTGGTTGGTAAACAACACTACCTGTCGGAAAGTTGGAGGTTATACCATATTTTGCATATTTAAGCGTTCTAGTGTGTAAAATTTCTAAAGTGAGACAAGTAACATAAATACATACATCACTTATTTTTGCAGACAACTCCGTAAAAATGAAGAACAGGTGAATATTTGGTTTCTGCTGCATTTCGGCAATGCTGTTTATTCAAATACTACCAATATGTATCTGTATCCTGGTGGATGAATTTCACCACTAAAAACATTATATAGTTATTCACCAAACGTTATTATACTTTATTTTAATATTTCAGGAAATTCGTGAGAACCTTACAGCTGAAGAACTTCAAAATCGAGAACAAAATTCATCGAACCACGGTCAGTCACAATCGGATGGAAATACTAATACAGCTGGAGGGAACGGTGAAAATAGAAATGAGTGGCATATTTCAAAGTTATTTGTCATTATTGTATTCAGTATATTTGCCTTTTTGGTGCAACTCGTCATGAGATTTCTTGAACCGGTGTCATGATTTCGTATTTAAAATCATCTGATACTTCCTTCCAACGTCTGCTGTGAAAATAAACTGAAGCCTTAACGGACTAAACTTCAACCGTTCAGTACTATAATATACAATATTGTTGAAGATATTTGGGCATGTGTGGTCCGTCTATGCTTTCTGCGAACTTCCTAGTTCTTTCAGCACTTCAGAACTATTTTTGTGTTACGCCCTGTTTGATCTGTACTGGTTATTCATATAATTACTATTCTGAATCCTTTCATGATGTTGGTGTTTTAAAAAAATGTATATATATGCACATATGATAAGTGCTTGTGATATATATATATATATATATATATATATATATATATATATATATATATGCGCATACATGTGAGGGGCTTTTCGTTATCTATTATTGATTACGAAAGTAACAGACAAATGTGTATGATAAAAGTACTTGTTATTATTTTTACTTTTATTGTCTGGATACACTAATATATTATTGAATATTATGAAATTGGGAATTTGTTGGTATTATTTGTAATCCGAGATGTTCAAATCACTGTCTTCATATGGTTAAGCTATTGCGTCCATACTGCTGAATTAGAAGCCAATTTCTTAGGCAGGAGGATCCACCAAACGATAGTGTTGTAGAGTTTACCTCCTGTGGTCGCCTCATGCATTGTGAATGATGGTTTACTGCCTGCACTAATAAGCTCGACTCAAGGTGAGCATAATAGAACAGCCAAGAGAAACACACTGACTGTTTGTGTTAGCTCTTTTAATAAATATATCTGACGTTCGACGCAGGTCCTGTCTAAAAGGGCTCAAGGACACTATCCTGCGTGGCTACGAAGAGATAGTAGCAGATCTATAAGAAATGCAGTAATGGAGCACCTTTTCGACACTGGTCATTCACAGTCTCAACAACCACCTCTTTCATAGTTACTTACAAAACGAAGAGAAACTTGTTAAAGTCAGCATGCATCTGCCTTTTTTGCCTTGCTGAAGCTTTAGCAATTCAGATAGAAATGCCTCGGTTTTGCGCATATGAGAGACTTGTCATTCCTTGCTCCTTTCATGGTTTTAATCTTTATATTTTCAAAACCTAACTTTTATTCTATTCGTTTGTAACATACCAACTATTTCTTGTAATTATGCTCAACTTGATAACAATTTATTGATTAAATATTCAGTCATGTTACTCAACTGTTCACTCAGACTTAATCGTCTTAACTAAATTTCTATTATATATGTTGAGTGACACTCACTAATATAAGTAACTCTGCCTTTTTAGGTCGTTACAATTTAATTCTCCTTGTTAATATGCCTTTTGATTACTTTCCAATATTTTAATTAATAAATTATTAAAATGATATTTGGATGTTTTATGTAGTACTTTGGTTGTTGCCGAACTGTTTTCTCAGAAAACAAATTGTTTATCCTCAGCAACAACAACCCGATCGCTAATTCAAATCCTGTCGCGGCTCAGATGTTTATTTCACCTCCAGTCATCACCCAGTATCAATCATACAAGTCTGCCAAACCATGGCAATCTCAGATAGTCAAACTGATAATCAGTATGATGCTCTTCCTCTCTAGTACAGCTTGATATGGATTTGGATGAGAAGTCTTGACTGGGTAGTCAGGGCGAACACGAAGAACCGACAGTTACGCATCATGAATTCATATGGCAGTCGGGCAAAACACTTGGTGATCGAAGTGAAATCAAGATCTCGTCTGTAGTTCAGTTTCGTAACTCGTCTAGTAAAGTACCGGACCGAAAACTTGGAATCTTGCCCGGACGCAGATTTCCATTTCGCCTTCAGTTATCACACAGTATGAACAACAACAAAACTGTATAAATGCAACTGTACGACTTAATGAATGAAATCACTGAACCATTTGTTTTCGTCTTCTTGAATATCTTGAGGACTTTTCGAGAACAAGCCGCTTGTTAAAAAAACAATAATAACGTAAATGACGAAGACTTTTGTTTGTTCTTTACTCTGTTTTGTTTTATCTTCCTCTTACTTTTGATATGACGACCTGATGGGCATTTGTGTGAAGTTGTTGAACCTATCTTTAATCCTAGATGAAGAGTAACGTTTGGCCTTCAATTTTATAGTTCAACAGTTCTTTATTCTTTTATTTTAGTAATTGTGTTACACTTTCTAAATTTATGATTCTTGTTTTCTGAAGGCATTTATCTGAGATAGAGGAATAAAAAGCTGTTTTATGATGTTTACGTTAATCAGTTATTCGCATGCAAGGTGATTGAAGTTCATCTCCGCTTGCATATTGATTGTGTAGTCAACTGATGCCTCAGTGTTTGGGTCTAACAAACATTCTACTGTCTACGTACATATCCATTTCATGAGTCATGGATACATGTCTGTGTGTCTAACTCTGGTTCCCAAAAATACTTCCGTGCATGTACCAAACACGTTATAATTCTACTGGTTATTTATATATAAACGTTGGCGACTACTTTATTCTCTCTTGATTGCCTATCCTTGCAATTGAGTAGTTGCTTTGTCTGAATTCAGTGCACTGGATATATTACGTCCGTCGGAGTATTGATAAAAATTATAATTGTTGTTCTTCTTGCGCAGTTGTTGATTACAAGTTCTGGTAGGTACTAATAACGGAAATCGATTCATAATCAGATTTCAAAGTGGCACAGATTTCAATCTGTAATTTATTTACTGTAGCACAGTAAGAACCTATAGTAAACACTTGAGTAATTCATGCTCACTCCATCATTTTCAGATATTTAAATCGTGATAGCCTATCGTGGTTATCAGGCTAACGGGTATGGTTGATAAATTGTACTAATGAGGATCTGTATTGGTTAGTTTCAAAGTGATTAATTCTGTCGTATTCCCTTAAATGACTAAGCAACTGTGAGAATCAAGTCTAGTGAAATTCATTGGATTCATGCTCATCGTACTTACAAGTACAACGTAATGAATCGATTCATATTATTAAGACAGATGAAAAAAAAACTACATTACTTTCGATGAGTAATAGCGGTGTTTTGATGATTCATATTAATCCTTAGCATTGATTGAACGGACATAGTATTTTCTCAGTCACACAGTGACTGGTTCCTGTTTAATGGAGAGTTAACAATTGAATTTGAAGTCCACAACACTTACCCGAAGCACTATACAATCATTACACATTATTATCGGATTGTGATTGTCTAATTGGAAATAGGACATATAGAACCCCAAAGAGTGGTATACGTGGTTTTGGCTACAATGATTTCTGTTTCCAGAGTTCAGTAAGCCAGAACAAATCATCCGGAATTGATTTGATTTTATCTACATATTCACCCTTGTCCATAATGATTATACCAGAACAAGTATGGTAGATATATCACAATTGTTTTATTATGTATAAATTTCTCAATGCAGTTTTGTAATCATTAGATGAGACTGGATTGTTGAATTGGTGATAAGACATATTGATTAGCGACATCAACCAGTTTTGATTTAAACCAACCTCCTTTTTAATTATTCATAGGTTTTAATTCTGATAGTTGGTGATATCAATAGTCGGACTGGGTTTCTGCACCAATTTTGTAATATTTTTTTGAGAATACTGAATATTAAACTAAACGGGAACAATTGTTTCGATCTGATTTAAACTGAATAGGTTACGTATATCTCTGAATTTGCAGAAATAACGTCACATAGTTGGTCTTTTAAAACAGATTTAGATGTTTTCAGTGGGGTTTTACTGGTTTTCAATCGAGCATCCTGAATAAATTTGATGAACTTGATTTGGTATACAATCTGACAACTTTTACAAACATACCACCTGTTTTCAACTAGGAAATAATTTCCTTGTTACACTAAATTTGACAATTTGCGATACGTCGAAGATTCTGTGGTGAAGGTTGCATAAACGCATAGATAAAAAAACTGCCGAAGAAAGCACCATTTTTCCAAAGAATTTCACTCATTATTTCTCTTGGTATTCTGCGTCGAACAGTCAGTCACTAAATGATTCAGCGACTCAGGATTTTACTCATGATTTTTCTTACCTAACATAAATCCTCTGATTCTTCTACTCACTTGATGTAATCTTTTTCAATGTACTGGATATATTTGACTCCCCACTTTGTTGTCCAACTTCCACTCTACAATATTGGTCAAATCCTTACATATACTCGCAAACTCATGACCACTTCTCGTATGTTTATTCCCTAAATTCATGTTTTCGATTACCACTTTTCAAAGTTAATTTTTTGCAAGGCGATGATTTTCCATCAAACTGATTCAAGTTTAAAAGTATTTTGTATAAATTGAGCTGAAAATTGTTTTAGGTTGTAAGCAGATGATGAGAAACCCTGAAATCAAATGGATTCATGCTATTCTGCTGAGACTGTTGTTCTCACCTTATTTAATGTTTCTCAGCTCGTTTTTTAGTAAATACAAACGTATCACCTACGTATCGGAACCTAAAGTTTTGGTTCAATCGGCGTTAAGACTACAGTTTGCCATCTTTGCATCACTGCTTATGTAATCAGTCCTAATATAGGCAATCTCACAGAAGAAAAAGTCGATCAGTAGCAGTGATCTACTAGAATATTTGAAGCCATCTGGATCTGTTATCCCACAACTCCATGACCTGCCAATGGTACGCAAGAAGAATAATTTTCTTCATCTAGTACTCGATTTCAATAATTCTCTATACCGCACAGCTGCTAAGTGACTGACTGAAATTCTCCAGCCAGTAAGAACTCGTATTAACGAATATACATTTGATTTTGCTGATGCGACGACTAACCTCAGTGAATCTGGAAAACGAATGCTGTCTTTGGATGTCACTAAACTCTTCACAGATGTTCCATTTACGATTTGTTCCTTGTTTAACCGCCTCGAATCAGTATCCCAATTCACCGTTGAAAGGAATTACTTCTACGATGCACTTTCAATGCGCAATTTAAATTCAACGAGTTTTATCGAAAAAAGATAGAGTAGCAATGTGGGTCATCACTACAGGAAACATTGAGG